CTGGAGAGAGGTCTAAAAAGATACTATGTCTAAAACGGGAAGAATCTAATTAAATGAAGCCTCTTAGTTCTGTTCTTGCCAGGGAAATAATCTTGGTCAAATAATGAGAAACTGATAGCATTTTAACACAAAATAATATGTTATATTCAGTAAGTATATTATGTTTTTGCAGAAGTTTAGAGAAAAGAAGTTTTTATTATCAGAGATAGTTTGCGGTTTTATGTTTGTTTTTTGTATAGTTTTCATGTTCTTCATTTTTAAGAATTTATAACGTTTTTATATGGTTCTGAGGGTGTTTCTTTTTTTGTAACTTGTCTTTTACAAACTGTGTTGTGAAACAATGTGAATAAAGATTGAATTGAACTAAAGTAGTTAGAAAGCAGTCTGAACTATATAGAACCAGACCACAACCCTCACAGTAAGGACATTTGTATACATCTCATACTTAAACCTCTAAAAATCACTGACACTGAAAAACACTAAAGCAAAGCATTTCAATGTTAAGTGTTACTGTGAATAAAAGCATGTGATTATAACAGACAGGATATAATTACTCTCCTGCAAACATAAAAATTGTCGTTTATCTGTGAAGTAAAAAGATATGAATATTCCTGACATATTAGATAAAATATAATTCTGGACAGACTTGGATTAATTTATAATATTGAACATTGCAGTTTAATTGATGGTAATACAATGAGGTCTGTGGTGGGATTTCAGCTGAACCAAATTGGCAAAATTAACTGGACATTCTGGTGGAGAACTGTCATTATTCTGGACACATGGCTGAACACCAGCGTGCATTATGTCTGACCTACCTCTGTGCTGATGAAGAGTGGATCCAATAGTATTAAATAATTGATGGTGAGCGACTTGAAATGATTGCTGCATTGTTTGCAATAAGTGAAACAGGTATGGACTAAAGACAAACAGATTATGCATTTTCATAGTGCTTTAATGGTAAAATTGCTTTAAGGTTTTATTTCATGCATCTCTGTAACACCCCTGTGAAACAGATCACTATTATACCTTTTTGGTGCAATGGTTAAGTGCGTGGACTCTAAACTAGGAGAACCAGGTTTGATTCTCCACTCCTCCACTTGCAGCTGCTGGATGACCTTGAGCAAGCCATAGTTCTGTCAGAGCTGTTCTTTCAAGGACAGTTCTTGAAAGAGCTTTATCAGCCCCATCTACCTCACAGAGTGTCTGTTGTGGGGAGGGGAAGGGAAAGGAGTTTGTATGCCGCTCTGAGAGTCCGAGTGAAGGGCGGGGTATAAATCCAATCTCTTCTTCTTCTTCTTAACAGGAGGGGAACTGAGATGCCAGTGGCATCCTAAACACTGTTACATCCTTCAGTGGACTTTGAAGGGTGTAACTCTGCACAGATGGCTCTATGAGAAACTGATCTGCCATCCAGTGAGTTCATGGCCAAGCAGGATTATGAGTCCAGGTTTCTCAGGAAAAGTTCCAGTGCACTAGCTTCTGGCCACATATGCATTTAGCTATGTTGCTATACTCAGTGAATCTCTTAGACTGAAAGTGATTTTACTGGAGGCCTTTAACAGAGTCCAGAGTCCATTAGTAAAATACTGAATGAAAAATGCAGTTTTGCATTTAAAAACTTGCCATGGTGTTTGATGCTGGAACAGCAACAGTTTTGCTGTTTGTAGACAAAGGTGCCTTTCAGCTTCATCACAGAGAACTATGCAAATACATTCTGTTTTTTGCTTGATAAAAACAGATGCATAAATCAGTGATTTGACTTCAAGTCGGTTAGGAAATGGGGCTTGATAAAAATCAATGGTGGGCACAGCTACTGCTTTCAGAAAGAAGAGTTATGAACAGATTGCTTAAGCAATTGATTTAACAAACCAGTCACACCCATTTACCCCCACTGAACCTAACAAACAACGAAGTCATGAATAGTACACAGGTGCACAGGTTAAGAAACCCAGATGCTGAACAGTAGCATGCCAGACCATTTTGCTCAGAAGATAGGGTCAGGGCTCTGTCCTGGGGACCTTCAGGTGGTACCAGTGACACTGGAGCTCAGCTTACTCCCAGTGGGTCTGGCCATCTACAACCCTTGTCTGTGCTGCCCCCACCTTGTCAGTACACCAGCATCTTCACAGGTAAGCCTTTTGAGGTTTTTGAAGCTGACAATGTGCACAGTCTTGTGGTTTGCAGATCAATGTGAATAAAGGTTCACTTAGTGGGGCCAATCAATTTCCCTCCAAGAGTAAGAGCTGCTGGCTTTGATAACAAATCAAAAACACTGCATGAACCCATTTTCCCTTTCTCACACACATACACTCCTTATTTATTTTTCTTTCCATTGATGGTATTTTTATTTTCTATGGCAGAGGTGTAATTATAACCACAGATGAGGACAGAAAACCAGAACATCATGAAGTGCAAGCAAGGCCAGTCTAATCCTGAAGCAGCTTATCTTCAAGTGGCAAAACTATCCTGTATTTTGAAGGCCATAAAGTTCATATGCTTGCATGTTTACGAGATGACTTTAAAAAATCTGATCCAAAATGTAACATATAACACATTATATGTGACTTTCAGTATACGCAATGATGTGGATCTCCCAAATGTAGGTGCTTGTTCTGCTTTTACATTTATTTCTTTCTTACTGCTTTTTCTGGACCCTTGCACTAATTTATGCATGTGTCACATGCATATCATGGGGCCCCTCTCTAACAGAATATTCCCTCAAGGAATGTGAATCTGAGGTGTTTGCTAGCTGTATGGATGTACAGTTTACTGCTCAGAGAACAAGGATCTATTATTAGTACAGAATTAAAATATTTCAAGAATGGTTATTTTACCTCCAGAAACAGACTGTAATCAGATCAGTTATTCAATGCGATTTATATGTTCTACAAAATGCATAGCTGTTATCCTCAATTTTTAAGGAATTAGAAGGGGAAGGATTTGAAAAAGGCTGACTGCATACCTAATTTCAAAAGCCTTATATGTGGCTATGTTCCCTGAGCACATTTTCTAATTATATCCCCTTTTTCTGTGTAATGGCAAAGGGAGAATATGAGAACAATAAAAGTAAGCCACTCTTCTGTGATTTCTAGCACCACAGGCTGGCATATCCAGTTGTAATACAGATAGCATCGCTAGAATACCAGTACACAATTTTGTGATCAAGGTACTAATTTGTAGAATCCCAATCTCATTCATCCTCACCACAGCCATTTAAGGTAGGGAAATCTTATCCTGTTTATGAACAAAGATAACCAAGGCTAAAAGTAAGTGCTGAATGAAACAGTTTTTCACAAATCCCAGAGATTATGTGGGCTAGAAGCCATTACAGAGAGCTGTCCAGTTTAAAAGCAAAAACACCACACCTGACATGTTCACTTCAGGTGCTTGGTAAAGATTACTCAGTAAAGCTTAGGCCAAGGAGTGGATCTCCATGTGAATTGCTCAACTCTTAAGTACATACATATACAACTTTTTTTTCTTCCTGGAAAAATGTAGGTGTAATTTGCATATCTATCTCTCTGTACACCTCATATAGATTACACAAACTCAAATTTGAAGTATTTGGGAAAGGCTTGTGTCCAAAAGAATTCCAGTGGGGGAATCACAGTAGCCCCTGTGGCAAATCATCTTGCAGTATCTAGTGTAGCATAAGCTTTCATGAGCCAGAGTCCAATGTCATGCATTTAGTTGGCAGGTACCTACAAATGGGTACCAACAAGAAGAGTAGTGTGTGTGTGGGGGGGAGAGGAGGAACAGATGTCCTGGCATTATAAGATCTAGTGATGTTATATGTTATACTGCAGAACATGGATTAAAATTCCTGTCCTGAATTAAGACCACAGGGAAAGGCTCTCCTGACTGCCCCATTAATCAAAGAGGCTAGTTTGGTGGGTACACAGGAGGGAGCCCCACAATTATGAACAACCTCCTCAGGGAGGTTCACCTGCTCCCTTGCTTTTAACCTTTGGGAAGCAGTTGAAGATAGCTTTATTTAGGATCACATTGAGTTAAGTTTACTAGTTGTCCTGAGTTGTGATTTTAAAGATTTTAAAATGTTTTTATTTATTTTATTTTATGTATTTTATCTGTTGTAAGCTGCCTTGAGCACCATAAAGAATGGCAGCTAATAAATGTTTAAAATAAAAAAGACACAAGATGTGATAAAAAGTAAGCAAGGTAATCACAGTACTTATAAACAACATGAATTAGCAAAACTGAACAGAGTATATAAACTGTATGGCTTTCTATAGAAAGCTACCCACACAGTTTTTATTGCACTGAAGGCAGATGTTATGGAAATCTGCATACACTCTAGCTATATTGTACATGTTATCCAACCCTTTCTCCTAACGCATACACCAGTTTCCGTGTCTCCATTTTACCTACCCCGTGAGGCAGGTTAGGCTGAAATAGACTGTCCCAAGCGACCTGTGAAGATATGAACGTGGGTCTAGTCTGTGCTCCAACCACTACACAATCACACTTGCTCCCAACTTGCTCACGACGAACACACTGAAGCCTCTCCCGAACATGTTTTATAAAGACAGCAACAAAACCCTACCCTTACTCTAGACATTGCAAAGCAGTACGAGATATACGATAAATCCAGAGCTCCAGACAGTCCACTGGACGCTTTCTAGAGCTTCACATCAAAGTAATTTATGCCCTAACAAAACAACGCGCCAACACCACCCCCTGAGGCAGGTGCTTCACACCTTCTCCACCCCCAGGCTGCACTTCGTCAATTCGGTTACTTCGACCAAAGTCACATCCATAATCCCAGTGACAACACCACCTTTGAATCATACAGATTTTAACTTCCGCCCTTACGGGCACTTCCGATCTAAAACGGAACTCCCTGTTTAAACGAGATCGGATTTTCACCATAGAGATGTAATGCCTAGAACGAAGCCACCGGAAGTTCTGGTTCTATATCGCTCAGGTTTTCTTCTATCTCTAATAGTTCCGTCTTGAATCTTCCGCTATCTCCAAGCGCTGTCAACTGCCCCGCCTCCTCCGTCTCCCGTATCTGCACAGCCGAGCAGCGCTACGACGGCAATGAGGCAACGAAAGGGAGATGGGGCTCAGCCGTTTTAAGTGACACTTGTGAGCTTCGCTTGACACAGGGGAAAGCGGCAGGGGCGAGCGGAAAGAGGAGACGGCGACCCTTCCCTATCCCTCCCCGGGCGGGAGGGGGCCCTCTCGTGCACCATGAGCTTCTTGATCGACTCCAGCATCATGGTGGTATCTCAGGTAATGAGGCTCCACCCCGCTCCCCTCTGACCGCGCGGGATGGTGGATGAGACTCGCTTTCTTACGTCATAGAACGGGAGACCGAAAAAAGAGGGCGGGGGTGGTAGTTTCTTTTACACTGCAGAACGTGTCGTTTGTGCACAGTGTAGGAGAGAGTGAAACAGGAGTCCGGATCCAGGCATATGATGAAGCGAGCTCCGGTTTACGAAACTTTATGTTTAATTAAACTTTCTTCAAGGGGCTACTGGACTTCTGTTTTTTTTTGCTGCAACACACTAACACGGCTGTCATTCTGCACTTGTACAGGAATGTAAAGTAGAAAATATTTTAGAGCTGCAGATGGTGGATTACAGGTTGGAACGTTCCTTCACATAAAGCACTAGGCAAATGGAAAGGTAGTGCAGTGGCACAGAAAGCTAGGGCGCTCTTTCCTTCCTTGTGCTAGTTTTTTTGCAGGGAGTTTTTAAGCATCCAGGGAGTGTTCCAAAATGCTCTAACTGGATTCTGAAGTGTTGCATTTCATTCTACCACCTTATTCTCTTGCTTAATGTGTAAATCAGGCCTAAAGAGTGGCATTTCAGATGCACCATGTTCTCTCTCCCTTACATGATATATCAAGTTCTCCCTTGGGGAAATGGGGTAATAGTCCCAACCACAAATTCGTAGTTCAGTTATAAAATGAAGAAGGGGAAAAGACAGGCTCTCTTCACAAGTGATGCTGAAAGTGTCTGTACTTCAGATGCAATTAGGCAAGGGTTGTTTTCATTGTCAAGACCCAAGATGCCCTGTTACTAAGGAGCGAGGTCCACTGAAATCAGTGGGGTTTACTTTGGAGTAACCATAGAATTGTGCTGCCCAAGTGCTAATGTGCTTCTAACACAGTATAAATACTGTTGTTAACATGGAACTTGAATATACATTCCAATCATTAAAGGTATTGCTTTTAGAATTACCATCCTTGGAGATGCAAAAACCAATTTTAAGCATTGTTTGTAGAAATGGTCTAAGATGTCCATTCAGTAGAAAATTTTCAGTCTTTTATTTTCTCTCACATGTTTTAATGGCATCCACAAGTTACATGTTCTTGACTTGGAAGATGACTTTAGTTTACAAAAACATTTGCTTTAAAAAAAAGTCCTTTCTATATGGTCAGTGCAAGGACACCTACAACATCTTATTGTACATTACTTTGCACATTACAGGTATGACGACCTGGTCCTGCTTTGTCTGGTGCTGTCACCAGAGAAGGTGTCACCTAGGCTTGCATCTGGGAGACCCAGTTTGAATCACTCCTCTGCCATGGAAGCTTACTGGGTGACCCTGGGCCAGTCACACACTCTCAGCCTAACCTATCTGATAGGGATAAAATGGAGGGGAGGAGAACAATGAAATACACTTTGAGTCCCCATTGGGTAGGAAGGCAGGGTATAAGTGAAGTAGATAAATTAATACTGAGAAATCTTTTCTGTACACTAAGGAGCATTCGTGGCTTACAATCGCCTTCCTTTCCTCTCCCCACAACAGGCACTTTGTGAGGTAGGTGGGGCTGAGAAAGTTCTGAGAGAGCTTTGACTGGCCCAAGGTCACCCAGCAGGCTTCATGTGGAGGAGTCGGGGAACCAGACCTGGTTCTCCAGACTAGAGTCCACGGCTCTTAACCACTGCACCATGCTGTCTCTCACTCCATGCTGAATAGTTTTGTTAGTTCTCTGTTTTGAAATACCAAACAGTGTTGCTGGTTTATATAACAGAGAAGCAAGAGAATATAACAATGAGAGAAATGCAGACACTCAGGTTGTATTCCGTTCAGTCTCTCTGCATTTGAGTTCTTCTTAGATGAAGAATTATCAACCTTTCCATTTCAGGTGTGTGGGAAGGCAGTTTTCCTATTTAAGTCTGGGGGTTGATGGCCACAGATGTGGATGGGAATACCAGCTTCTGGTAGGATCCTGGGGATCCCCCGGGATTACAACTCATCTCCAGACTACAGAGATCAGTTCCCTTGGAGAAGTTGGATACTTTGGAGGGAGGACTCTGTGGCATTGAGTCCAGGCTTCAACCCCAAATCTCCAGGAGTTTCCCACCCTGGCCACCCTACCCCCCCATCCCCCACTGGTGGTCAGTGAGGACTTGGCAACCCTAGATGTGGAGTAGAATGGCAGGAGGTGAAGGCTTTAACTGAGATTTGCCTTTGTTGAGGGATGGAGAATTGGAAAGTTCTAAGAAGCAAGTTCTATTTTCAGACTGACATTATGGCTTTAAAGCATTAAATGTAAATTCTGTAACTGAAAGCATATATAACAGGAAATGTAATTGGACTTCACTTTTTAAAAACTTGTCTTGTTTAAACAGTCCACTCTAAATGTCCAGAAGATGTAGCAGTGACAGACCCCTTTCTGTTCCTTCTTACATGATGGCTCTATGTAGGTCAAGGAATAAGGAGACCTGTATGGGTAGCGTATTGTGGTTATTGTTCTCATCTGTTGCCTTGTGGAGAGGGGTTATTTGCAGGGGGTTATTTATATTTTAAATTTGAGTTTGTAAGTCATCTTGAACAATAGGAAATGTGGGATATAAATATTTTAATAAATAAAGGAGATGTAGTCTTGTTGCAATACATTTTCTGGCATGGCTTCATTTTAGGGGAGGAGAGCCTTTTTACAATTACACTTTACACTTATTCTAGGATGAGGCATGTCTAGCTTATGCTGCAAAGATTAAAACAACAACAAAACCCCTGAATCTATTATCTTATCTTGATTGTGCATAGTAGAATACTATTGCTGAGAAGTTGTGAAACTTCAGAGCTTCTCATGTTATGTTGCAATTATTTAAATAAGAAATGATATTATCTGACATTTTCTTCATCAACAGTTACTGTTCTTTGGATTTGGATGGCTGTTCTTCATGCGCCAGCTATTTAAAGACTATGAGGTGAGGGTGAGCTCACTGTATCCCAACTATAACTTCATTACAGTCCAATAGAGAGAAGGTTGATTTGAATTATATAAATCATGTTAATAACACAGTTCCTTAAGGCTGTGTTCCTAGGCATGGTTGCTTGGGTATAAGGGCCACTGAAGGCAGTGGGATTTACTCGTCTGCAACCACGCATAGGACTGGGCTTTAAGATTCCTCACTGTGTGTTGTGACTGACCCCTTTAAAAAAATGCAGTTTAGAATTAGTTTTCCTGCATTCAAAAATGGCTTCTGCATTTTGGTGTGTGAAACAGTCTAATGTCAGTGAAAAGAACTGTAATAATGAGCTAAACAATTCTTGGATGGACTCAGTGAGAAAGATGAATGATTAATAAAGCTGATAAATAAAATTTAATGCAGACTCCATTTGAGCAAGATCTGTCTATTTGGATAGAAACAACAGTGTATATTTAAATTCATGCTAATTTGTTCTTCCAAATGATGCTGAATACTGTGCTTATGGAAGCACTTTTTCCTTTGTGGTTCTTTACAGGTGCGACAATATGTTGTGCAGGTCGTCTTCTCTGTCACATTTGCTTTTTCATGCACTATGTTTGAACTCATCATTTTTGAGATTCTAGGCATCCTAAACAGCAGGTAAATGTAACAGCTATTGATACAGTTGAATCATCTATTGGTCTGGCTGTGTTTTACTTTTCTTTCCAGTTCAGTTTTGTGTAGTGGTTAAGAGCACAGACTCTAATCTGGGAGAACTGGGTTTGATTCCCCACTCCTCCACATGCAGCTGCTGGTGTGACCTTAGGTCAATCATAAGTTCTTTCAGAGCTGTTCTCTCAAGGGCAGTTCTCAAGAGAGAAGTCTCAGCCCCACCTGCCTCACAGAGTGTCTGTTGTGGGGGAGGGAAAGGGATTGTAAGCCGTTCTGAGACTGCTTTGGGTAGTGAAGAGGGGTATAAATCCAGTCTCCTCCGTCTCCTCCTCCTCCTCCTCCTTCTTCATTGTAAGGACTTTTTAAAATCTAGGTGCAAAAAGGGTTTTGGGGCATATTAAAATAGTTTATGAAATGTTATAATAAGTGCATGCTCTATATTTTACGGTGCTCCAAATGGCAAATAAGATTTCAAGAGAACTGTTGGTAATCAAAAAAGTATTGTCAGTACTGAGCAATAAATGTAAAACTACCATGATTTCCAGATCTTTCTGATCCTGCCATTTCCAAGTGGTAACTGTCCATCTGATAGCAAAGATAGGTATTGGTCCCCTAGTGTGTGTAACTTCATTTACCTAATAACAGTTCATAAGGTACTCCAGTTTGTCCTGAATAATAAGCTACTACTTCCATAGAATGACAATATCTATTAATAAATTCACTACTCCTGGAGTGAGTTGAAGAAAACCTCACTGATAGTTTCATTATTTGTCTGTGAAGGTTTTGGCCAAAACGGAAGTTTTAAAAGGACATCTTTGAACAGCAAAAAAAATGTACCAGCATCTGTATGTGCACTGATGGAGATGGATGTAGGCTGCAATCCTAAAAGCACTTTCTTAGGAGTAATCCCCATTGAATACAGTGGTGCTTAGTTCTGAGTAGACCTGCTTAGATTTGAATCCCATATTAATCTGTCTGATGTGAGAGCTAGCCAGATTCCTCGAGTTTCTAATATATGGGAAATGAAGAGGCAGTGCACCTTCTGAAGTATCAGTTACTGATCACTTGGCATAGAATGGTTGGAAAGAGGGAATCTGAGCACATTGCTGGTTATGTGCACTCTTGGTGTTAGTTGCATTACATTATGTAACTCTACAGACTGATTTTGTGCAGGCAATACTATCTGAGAAGGGAAAGGATGGTGTCTTAAGTAAGTAGAATGCACTCTGATTATGTTGAACAATCCTTTTGCTGTTTTCAGCTCCCGGTATTTTCACTGGAAATTGAACCTGTGTGTGATTCTGCTTGTGCTAGTGTTCATGGTGCCCTTTTACATTGGCTACTTTGTTGTGAGCAACATTCGATTGTGTAAGTACTCACATGGCTATCTTGACAAAAAATTGTGACACAAGTTTCTTGGTTCACCATTCAAGCCCTTCAAGATGGTGTACTTGTGCCCAATTTTCTTTTCTCTTTTTGTTTTTAATAGTACACAGACATAGACTGCTTTTTGCCTGTGTTGTTTGGTTAACATTCATGTATTTCTTCTGGAAACTGGGAGACCCATTTCCTATCCTCAGTCCAAAACATGGTGAGTTTCTGATGCATTTTTTCATCTTTTCCTGATAAGATAGTGTTTGTCTCTCATTGTTTGGTGACTGCTAACTCTCTGCCACAAGCTACTGTATGGAGCATGTCCTTCCACTGATTTTTTTTGTTATGTGAGACTGAGGAGGAGGTACCCTGTGTGTGTAATGTTACTATGGGAAGAAGTTGGGGCCTCAGCATCAGTAAACAGTTTCCTTAACAAGCACAGTAAGCAAATAACAGGTCAAATACACTTAAGGGAATCTGCCATTTACTTGGTACTTGTGCATATTGCTAAACTTTTTATTAGCACTCTGAAGTTGTATTGCTGGTCATCACAGGCTTGTTTGCAAGGATGGCAAGTTAGTACCAAAACAGAATGAGTAGTTCCCTCATTTAGCACTGGCAAGTGTGAGAAGGGATATGCAGTGGTTGCTGGTGCTTTTTCTCCACTGTGGAGTGCAAACAGTCATAGCCTGGAAATGGGATCAATCACTTTGGAGAATGTTGTGGCCAGCATGTCAAAGCTACACTTTTTAATTAACCTATTTTACTTGCTGTGTCCATGCTGTAGCAAATGTTGGGGACATTACTGGCAGGCACATCAAGGGAATCCTGATATCTAAAATAAATTCTTTCTCGAGAGAACAATATGTTGTTAATCTTGAAAATACTGTTTGATATTTGATTTAAATCCTAACATTTTCTTCCTTTTTTAGAGGTTAGCTGCTGTTCTAGCTGGAACTATTATTGCTTGTGTTCGTACTGTAGCAGTGGTAGGTTACGGTTGAATCTGGTAGCCAGAGAATTAGCTGCAGTTCTGAACACCCTGGATTGAGAAATTTCCACTTGCCATCTGTGACTGAGACTAAACTATTTCCGTTTTTCTTGACCTGGTTGGCTTGAGCAGCGATTCTTTTCCTTTCTTAAATTGCAAAACTAGTTTGCTGGTTTCCTTAGTGGTTTGTTTTCCCACCTAGTTTAGAACTTACATTGTGTTTAATTAAATCTCAGCTCCTTCATTTCCAATCTGGGACTAAGGAGAGCCATTGTTAGGCAGTGCGCCGGGAATCTTGGGTTTGTTCATGCTAAATTTCACTGAGGTATTTGTCAGAAAATGGGCAAATTTTTATATTATGGCCAGTATAGAGGAAGCTGCGCTTAAAGTCTGTACATGGTTGTTGTTCTCAGTGGCAACCTCTTTGTAGTGTAAATGTCTGAAGCTTCATTGCAAGCAAACTTTTAGCACTTCAGAGCTTTATTCTTTTTTTATGGACTTTTGGACCCCCCCCCCCGCCCCCCCCCCAAAAAAAACACCCAGAACCACCTGTAGGCTTACCAAACGCCGGCGGGGGAAATCTATTTCCTGGCAGGATGCGTGCCGCGGGGGACGGCTGTGCGCGCTGCACCCGCCGTCGCCAGGATGTGACGCTCCGCGTTACTCTGGCAACGGGGCTGTTTGGGTCCCGTTGCCAGGGTAACGCGGAGCGTCACATCCTGGCGACGGCGGGTGCAGCGCGCACAGCCGTCCCCCGCGGCACGCATCCTGCCAGGAAATAGATTTCCCCCGCCGGCGTTTGGTAAGCCTAACCACCTGGAATCACTGGTGGCCCAAAAAAGTAATTTGAAGAGTAACTTGGACAAGCTGAGTATTCCTGTTGCATATTCCTTTACTCACTGCAGAGATGATTGTTAAATAACTAAAATTAAAGGGGGAGCTTAAAAATAAAATAGTGTGTGCAAATGTTGTCATAGTAGTAGCTATTTTCAAGAGTACAGTGTTGAAATTGATCTGGTCCTGTTTTCTTTTATGTCAGGAATTCTGTCTATAGAGCAGCTCATCAGTCGGGTGGGAGTAATTGGGGTGACCCTCATGGCTCTGCTGTCTGGATTTGGTGCGGTCAATTGCCCATACACTTACATGTCTTACTTTCTCAGGTAAACAGGCTTAACAGGTCTTTTTGTCTATATTCTCCTATTTTGAAGAAGAGGTTATCGGGGTGTATCCTGACCAGGTTTCCACAGGCTAAAAACACTTCTGCCAGTGGAAAAGAGAGGGTGATCTTAACTGATTCCTCTCTTCCTCTGCAGACTGTAAGTTCAGCCCTGTGCTGTTCCTGAGGGGCCACTGACTGTAGTGATGGTGGTGGGGAAAACAGGAAAAGTCATATTGGTCTGCTTGTGCTAAGTAGGATATACCCTATTGTATTCTGTTTCCTCCTCATTCAGTTTAAATTCCCCTAAAATGCTTTCTGGAGTTAATAGTAGCTGTTTTCCTGTCCCACTGTCTCAATTATGTTGATCTAGGTTGATATTTTCTTCCTTTTATCTCTGTGTTGTGTTTGTTTCTTACTGGGTTCTGGTGGACTTAGAGAGGGCGGGGTGCCCCAAAATTGGAGAGGGGACTGGATTTGGCCTGTAGACTGCAAGTTGGCCATTACTGCAATAGAAGACAGAGCCATACCAGTTGGTACACACACACACACACACACACACACACACACACGTATAATCTGTCTCTCTGTTGCAGGAATGTGACAGATGCAGATATTCTAGGTCTAGAGCGTCGCCTCCTCCAGACCATGGATATGATCATCAGCAAGAAGAAAAGGTGCGAGAAACACGTTAAAGCATTTTTCTATATCACTAAACAATAACATGCTGATGGAGAAATTCTCATGCTTGTTTAGAACATCAGATAATATTCCAAAGGTCTGAAAAGGTTGCAGAATTGTTGGACTGGTTTGAAGAAGATAGCTTGCTAGAATGCATTCAGGGCCCAGTAAAGTTAGAACACCTAGCAAAAGATCTCCAGAGGAGATCTGGGAAATTACAGGCCAGTCAGCCTGACGTCGATACCAGGTAAGTTGGTGGAAACTGTTATTACATAAAGAATTAGTAGGCACAATGATGAACAAAAACTATTGAGGCAGACTCAGCATGGGTTCTGTAAGGGAAGATCTTGTCTCACTAACCTGTTAGTGTTTTTTTGAGGGAATGAACAAACATGTGGACAAGGGGGACTCAATAGATGTTGTTTACCTTGACTTCCAGAAAGCTTTTGATAAAGTTCCTCATCAAAGGCTCCTAAGTAAGCTCAGTAGTCACGGGACAAAAGGAAAAGTCCTCTTGTGGATCAAAAAGTGTGGCTAATTAATAGGAAACAGAGTATAAATGGGCAGTTTTCTCAGTGGAGGGTGGTAAGTAGTGGGGTACCACAGGGATCAGTACTCGGTGCTTTTTAACTTGTTTATTAATGATTTGGAGTTGGGAGTAAGCAGTGGTGGCTAAATTTGCAGATGACACAAAGTTGTTCAGGGTGGTGAGAACCAGGGAGGATTGTGAGGCAGTCCAAAGAGATCTGTTGAGGATGGGCGAGTGGGTGTCAACATGGCAAATGGGGTTCAATGTGGCCAAGTGCAAAGTGATGCACATTGGAGCCAAAAATCCTAACTATAAATACACATTGATGGAGTCTGAACTGGCAGAGACTGACCAAGAGAGAGATCTTGGAGTGGTAGTAGATAACAATGAAAATGTCTAGACAGTGTGCAACTGCAATGAAAAAGGCCAACGCTATGCTGGGGATTATTAGGAAGGGAATTGAAAACAAATCAGCCAGTATCATAATGCCCCTGTATAAATCAATGGTGCAACCTCATTTGGAGTACTGTTTACAGTTTGGGTCACCACACCTCAAAAAGGATATTATAGCATTGGAAAAAGTGCAGAAAAGGGCAACTCGTATGATAAAAGGGTTGGAACACTTTCCCTATGAAGAAAGGTTAAAGCGCTTGGGGCTCTTTAGCTTGGAGAAACAACGGCTGAGGGGTGACATGATTGAGGTTAATAAGATTATGCATGGGATAGAGCAGGTTGAGAAAGAAGTACTTTTCTCCCTTTCTCACAATACAAGAACTCGTGGGCACTCAATGAAATTGCTGAGCAGTTGGGTTATAACAGATAAAAGGAAGTACTTCTTCACCCAAAGAGTGATTAACACATGGAATTCACTGCCACAGGAGGAGTTTGATATGGATTAATAATAGAATCACAGTGCAGTTGGAATGATGTACTTGGTAAAAATAGATTGGTAAAATAATCCACGTAACTGTGGAAATCTGCAAAAATCTTTGCATATTTTCTTTCTTCCATGGTTAGAAAAAGCAGAGGGGCTGGGATTGAGGGAATTTAGTGTTGTGATGGTTACAAAAAGAACATGTACTCTTCTTTAATCGGTTCTTAATTGGAGCATCCCATAGACAATCTCCAAATGTCATGGAAAGCAATTTGTATTAAATTTTGTTTTGGCTCTAATTTATATCTCTCCATCTCTTTTTAAAAGGAACTTGTGTTTTCTTCCCAATCAGGATAGCCATGGTTCACAGAAACATGTTCCAGAGAGGTGAAGTGCACAACAAGCCCACTGGTTTCTGGGGCATGATTAAAAGTGTTACCACCTCTTCCTCAGGCAGTGAAAGTATCCTTTATTTCCAGACTACATTCAGAAGGGAGAGGGGCAGTGCCATGGAGGCCTGAGTGAAAGGAAGCTTGAGAGGGTGTGTGTGAGGAATTCTGCTTACCCATTACTTTCAGTTATCAAGCTTCATCTGCATTGGAGACTGTGACTCAAGCCTGCAAATGCTAAACTCTGTGACTTGATCTAATGGGAGCTAATGCAGCATTAGCACATTTTCTCTGTTTAACGAGCATTTATACATCTTTTATGAAATAAACAGTGAAAGAAAGCTGGAATGTGTCATTTTTAGCTGGGACTGTTTATGTATTTGTCCTTGACACCCTTCGTTTGCCAGATCTGACACTTATCCAGCAAGAAGTAGATGCTCTGGAGGAGCTGAGTCGGCAGCTTTTCCTGGAAACGGCTGACCTACATGCTACCAAGGTGCATACTAAAGAGACTGTTGTTAAGAAATGTCCAGTGGGTGGGTAGAAGAGATGCCTGGGTATGGAGAAAGAAGAAATTTAGAAATTGTCAAGGAAATAAGAGAGCAAGCCTAAGCAGGTCTACTCAGGAGTACGTCTCATATTCTTCACTGGGGGGTAAGTGTGCTGAGGATTGCAACCTAAGAGTACTACCAAAATTTTACTTTTCGGTGATTGTAAAAAGCTGGTGTTTCTTGAAGTGTGAAAGATAAATTAGCCTTCCCAAGCTCATAACTTCTCTGGGATCATGTACAACCCTTGGTGTGAACAGAATTTTCTACTGGGAAAGGGTTATTTTCTAGTTACATTGTTGTTTGTAGGATTTATGATTTTTCATATGTAAAACAGTCAACAGGCTTCCTCTGTCTTGCAGGGTCTTTATGAAGCACAAATTGTTTTATTTAATTATGGGAAATTAATCTGTTAGTTGAAAACCATGCATCTGAATGCCTCATTAACCTGAACCTTTCCTTCATTTTAGGAACGAATAGAATACTCCAAAACATTCCAAGGGAAATATTTTAATTTCCTGGGCTATTTTTTCTCCATCTATTGTGTTTGGAAAATTTTTATGGTATGTAATAGTGCAGACAAGCCTGGCAAAGTTTTGATTGCTGAGCAGCAGCAGAGCTTTCCATGTCTTCTCTTGTGATCTAGTTAGTGTTTGAAAACTGTTTGACTTCTAGTTGTTGGAATTTTTTTAAAATCTGAGAGTGGTTATCTTTTGTGTCGTATCTACATCAGGTGACCAGGCAGTATTATGTACGTATGTTTTATAAACTCTGCCACACCTGACCGTTTACTGTGAAAGACAGTATACTGTGCATATCCTGTGTCACTTCTGGTGACTGTGTTTTC